CAGATCAGACGCTGATTTCTGTAGCTACGTGACTGACAACGCTGATCTGGTGAGTCGCGGGGAAGTCAGGCTGAGATGATGGCCAACTAACGTCTACAGATCTTTCTGCGCGACGCCCTCAATCTGGTCTTGCCAAAGCTGGCCACTGTCATTCAGCGTCTCGCTGTCTTCGCCCAGGAATACAAGGACCTTCCATGTCTTGGTTACACGCACGGTCAAGCTGCGCAGCTCGTGACTGTTGGCAAGCGAGCCAGCTTGTGGATCACCGACCTCCTTCGAAATCTGCGCAACTTGGAACGCCAGCGCGACGAAGTCCTCACATCCTTCAGAGGCGTCAAGGGTACTACCGGCACCCAGGCCAGCTTCTTAGCTATCTTCAAAGGCAACCACGACTTGGTCGACCAGCTCGATGAATTGGTCACGAAAAAGGCAGATTTCAAGGAAGCTGAGATTTCCACCAGTCAGACCTACTCCCGGCTGATCGATGTTGATGTCATTCACGCTTTGAGCTCGTTCGGATGCGCATGCGAACGGATAGGCGGCGACATCAGACATTTGGCCATGTTCAAGGAGATCGAGGAACCTTTCGAGGCTGACCAGATCGGCTCAAGTGCTATGGCATACAAGCGTAATCCAATGCGATCGGAACGACTCTGTTCGTTGGGACGAAAGCTCCACAACTTCAGCGCAGACGCTGAGCAAACGTACGCTCAACAATGGTTGGAGCGAAGTCTCGATGATTCTGCCATTCGTCGGATCACTCTTCCTGAATCCTTCCTCTGCGCCGATGCCTGCCTAATTCTTGTAAGTCCATGTCACGCTCAAAAATTATCAATTTGCTAAATCATCATCAGCTCAACAACATCTCGAACGGTCTCGTTGTCAATAAGGCTGTGATTCAGCAACGCATCGATCAGGAATTGCCCTTTATGGCGACTGAGAATGTAATCATGGCCATGGTGGATAAGGGAAAGTCAAGACAGGACGTTCATGAAGAAATTCGGTATGCTCACTCTCTTCTGATGCGAAAGCCATGCAACTGACTGCCTAGCGTGCTATCTCACCAAGCCGGTGCTGTTGTCAAGCAACAAGGCCAGCCAAATGATCTCGTCGAGCGGATCAAAGCGACGGCCTTCTTCGAACCAGTCCTTCCGGAGCTGGAATCCCTTCTCGACCCAAAGACATTTATCGGTCGTTGCCCCGAGTTGGTTGACAAGCTCATCGAGCAGAAGGTCAAGCCTGCGCTCGAGGGCTACGCCGAAGCCTTGAAGAACGCGGAAGTTGCGGAGCTGAATGTGTAGATGAAATTGCCGGCAAAAAAGGGGCGGATTTGGTACATATTCCGAGCGAGCCGATTATTGTTGTGGCGTGCAGAACGCTCGATTGAGAGGGAGAGCGTCGAGCAAGCTGCCTGCATCATAGCGCGTTGTGTGTCCTGACTATTACCACCAAGGGTCATCGCGGCGCCAGTAGAGCAGAGATCCGCCTATAAGCAACGAATTCATGATCCCAATTGCATGCCCTGGAGCAAGCTCCGGTACACCGCTATTCTTGACAATGATATAATCCGCAAGTGTCGTGATGACTCCATATCCCACTGCAATCCCCAAAGCTGTTCTGTCTCGCGTGTAGCAGGCAAACGTGAGGATGAGAGCTCCGTTCTGAAGATTCCTGGCAGCAATGGCTTGTACAAGCGCTTTCTTGGTCTTCTGGTTCTGGGCCGGGTCTTGAGTATCTTTCGGCGCATCGATGGGAACTCCAAAGCTCTTGGCCCATGCTACTTGGTCATTCAGACCTCCGAGACCGAACATGATGCTTTCGGCGCATCCAACGAGGATCGCGAGACATTCGGATGGTGGTGGGAGGTTGTCGAAGAGCTCTCGGCCGAAGCTTCGCGATGCCATTGTGTCGTCTTGCGTTTGGATCTACTTGTTCTGTCGAATGCTGAAGTCGCGCTGTCGTGGATTGGAGAACGCGAAGTGCTCCGTACTGCAACCAAGAAACGCGTCCCAGCTTACTGCAATACTCGTCATTGAAGCTGCAACACGTCATAATTGATAAGCACACCATTGAGTACATGTACTATGTAGTCTCGTACTCGTGTCCGCCGGAAACAACACGCTGCTGAAATGTGCTGCGATAAGGTGAAAACAAAAGTCGTCCGGCGACCGCGGTATCGGATGATCGAAGGTTTCGATGGCACCAGCGGTTTTCTTCGACCTCTGCTTCTGACGGTCTTCACCTACGTATGCTTCGACGTGATGGCCGACCGACATGTGTACAGCAAGAAGGAGCTGGAAGTGTACTTTGATCGCATCTGCCTTCCCGAGCCCGAGCGAATCTACGATGTGACAGGGATGTCGAACGACGACAAGATTGATTTCTTACAGCTGCTGCAGAAGCATCACGTTGTAAAAGTTCCGTAGGAAATTTTGGTGCAGCATTATTCGTGGCATAAGGTGGTCAATGTCAAGCCAAAACATCTGTTCCAAAAGATGGTTCGATCACATGGACGAGGAGGGTATGGTCGCGACACACCCAATGCGGGACATGGTGACATCCTTGAGACACGGCTGATGACTGACACCTGGGCAGATATTGTATGGAAGTCGACTTCTTCTTCCACTTGATCCTCCTCAGTCTAGGCTTCGATGTATACATGTGCGGATCCAGAATCTACAAATCCGCCAAGGGAGGCTTCGGAGGCTGGACACACGTTGTGAATCTCGTGACGATTGCTGGAACGAAATGGTTATGCGATGCAATGGACCTTCACGACCCGTGCCTCTTCTTCACGGAGAAATCCAGACCCAAATCGAGCCGGCGCAATATCGACTCCTCCACGAACCAATCCGACAGAACGTCAACCGAACACAAAAGGTCGGGATCTACCAACACCGTTTCAACGAAGATCATGATTGGGTGACATATTATTGTTTCCCCGACCTGGAATTCATCCCCGAGGATAGTTATCGAAAGCATGAACTTCGAGCCATGCCTGGACCGCCAGACATTCTTCACTCACAAGGTTGCAGCCGTGAGGTTCACCACGGCGAATGAGAAGAATGGCACGAGGGGACCAGGATCGCCACTCGAGGCCCACATGACCGGTGAGATTGATGGGGCAATCACACTGAACCACGATGTGCTCAAATGGCGAAGGAATGGCAAGAAGGTGGTAGAATTTCCGTTGAAGTCGGAAACAGACAGGCTGGAAGCGCTGTGCATGTATTTCGGCATAACTTTCAGCGATGAGGATATCGAAGCGATCAAAGGCACGGCGGCAATGATAGGTTGTACAGCAATGGACAATCCTTGACTGCTTGATTGCTTGGTCATGTAAAGACTCGCAGAGTTCGCAACACCTGGTCTTACAAAGTGGAGATTCTCTGTGCAATGGACAGGCAAGTCTGGCCGCTTGAAAGAGAGTGCGTGGCGTGCGGACGATGCTGTTCAAGGCTGCCACGACGAGATGAGCTGGCTGGAGATCCTAAGGTATAGTCGCCCCGGTGCATTAGCTCGCGAGCTGCGTATGTAACACGTGCCCATGCACAGATGAACACGTGGGGGGAGTCGAGTGGCAGACGATTTTATGCAGCGCTGCACGTGTGCATGGAGTGCAGGGAGACCCGCGTGAGACGACATTCATGTGGTTCACATGCTGCACTGATGACTTTTTCGATTGGGCCGTGTCATCATTATTGAAAAGCAGAGAACATGGGAAGTTAGAAGGAGTGTTGACCTTCCATTGTATCATCATTAGCCTCATGTAATCAGCGTTCACCTTCATGAGTGCATGCCTTGCCAGCTCATCGCAATCATAACCCAACCCAATCGTTATCCAGTTTTCAAAGGGCCTCCGCGCAAATGCTATCCAAGGACGCCACTAAAAATGCCACCCAAAGCTGTCAAGGATTTTACAACATTACTCGGAAGGCGAATCATGGCATTCCGAAAGTAGCCCAAGCCTCGTTCAAGTAATCAACTATCCTCTAGCATATCCAATCCGTATGTTATAGGGTGCAAGATGACCCTGGTTGATGTGTTGCGGCATGTTGTAAAAAAGTTCGGCGCAAAAGCCGCACAGGCCGAAATTTTGGTGTGCGCAGGCGAAGTGAAGCTTGGCCAGTGCCGATATGCTTGGACGTGACGGATAATTCGCGGAGAGCGTCACAAGCAATGCCCAGCAAGCCAGACAACACAAAGCCGTCGGCAATGATTCAAGCACAGCACGTCAGTCCAAGGGCTGAGAGCCTGAATCCATGGTGGTACGGAAATCCCTCCGTCAAGGTGGGAGTTTTTATCTGGGCAGTGAATGGGAAGCCCAGCCTTCTATCTCCTGGAGCGGCGATCATTACTCGAGGATCCAGAAAGACCTCCAAAGACGCTGGCGCGGTTCGCTCTGGACGAGGAGCTTGGCGGTCCGGGATTACTCGGAGCAGCTGGCGGAGCGATCAGCTGTATGATCGCTTGGTGCTGCTTTTACTGGAACTTACGTCGGCCGCCATACTGGTCGTATTGCTGTGCGGGTATGGAGCCGTAAGGGCTATGAAAGTCAGCAAGAGCAGCACGTTAGAGCATCCATGAATAGGCGAACCTTGGTTGTTGCGGGCTGACGATGGGATCCCGGTCACGAGCGGATACAGAAGAAACGGTGGCCGCCGGACTAGGGTAGGCATATCTTGGATCCGCATACTCCTGTTGTGGGTATCCTCTGGAGTCTCGTGGTGGCTCACGTCCTTGTTGAGGCTGTCCAAATCCAGGAGCACCACCATACTGGTCCGATCTACTGGGAATAGAAGGCGCTGGGTCATATGGAGACGAGACTGGGACGAAGTAGTTTCCTTGCCTCACGTACCCGGGAGGTGGACCATCATTGGACTGAGGGTAGCTTGGAGCATACCTGGGTTCCTGTCCATACGGGGCTGACACGGGCGGGCGTGCTCCGAAGCCTGAAATTTGCGTATCCTGTGGGTATGACCTACCATCCGGTGCATATCCTCTGCCATCAGAGGGAAATGTTCTGCTTTCCGGTGGGTATGCGGGAGCACGGCTGTCCGATGGGTATCCCCTGTTGGGTTGCGGTGGATCAATTTGCATTCTATCAACCGGTATTCTGTCCCTCGACGACGTAGGCAAGCCATACGGTCCATCCACGGATGGCGAATCTCCTTCGCGGCGATTGTGCGATATTCTTCCGGCGCTGGATGCATGGTACGTTGACGATCCAACGTATGGTTCTATTGAAGAGTCAGGTGCTGTTTTCCCCAACGTATCGTAGCTCGGGCTGTTGCTACCTCGTGTACCAGTCTGGCGCTGTTCTTGTCGCCATCGTGCAGAGTCTGCTCGCAAATCTGCAATCATGGCCTGCGAAATGGGTTAGCATGCGCTCTGATTGCACTGATGTTTCAAGTGCGGGCGTACACTAGTGAGGTTTCTATAGGCTTTTATCCAGTATCCTTGAACACCCTGTTGGACAGTAAGCACACACACTCGACGGCCTGGTTACGCAGACGGGCTGCTGACCTGGTTCTCTCCAGTTCCCACGCCGGGGCGGACGGTGGCATCGTTGCCCAGATATCTTTGGATGTCTGCAGAAATGACATGGCGGTCGATGCCTTCACCGGGAACGAACCACTGGCGCGCTATCTCTTGAGGCATGATGGACACGCCGGCGGGCTTTTCCTGAAGGGCACACACAGAACAGTGGACGGGAGTCCTGCCACGAAATGCACGGGGCGATGGTATAGGTATAGATAGGCAAGAAAAGCAGACGGCGCTGCTCGCAGCTCCTGGATGACTGGCCGAGATTGGATGCACTGCAGTCCTGCGGATGAGATGAAATGGGCGTGGCGGCGGAATATAATAACAAACGGCGGCGAGTCGCAGAGCCTGGAGTGTATGGGTGGGAGTCGGCCAGCAATCCTGGCGTTGAGTTCAGCGTGACTGGGAAGGGAGGCAACTCAAACACGGGGAGCGGCGGAGGGCGGAGGGCGGAGGGCGGAGGGCGGGGGCGGGCAGCGTTCGTCGATCTGTCGCTGTCAGTGTTGCAAGAGGAAGGAGGAGGAAACAGAGGGAGGATGGCAGGCAAGCAGAGAAACAAAAGGCGCTGGCGATGAGACGGGAGGGAAGAGGATAGAGTGGGCATGGGCATGGGCATGGGATGGGATGGATGGATGGGCTGGGTGTGCCGCGTGCGACAGACTGCTGCCCAACTCAGCGCAGGCGGGTTTGGTGAAAAGGAAAGGCTAAGGCTCAGTGTGCTCCGCTCGCTGCTGATAGGCTGCAGGAGAATAATCGGCCTGTGTGGCGTGGCTGGAGAATAAGAATATCGCTGGCGCTGGCGCTCGCTGGATTCATCAGTAGCAGTGTGCTGTCGCTGTCATGAGTCAGTTGGCCTTGTCGCCGTCGCCGCTGCCGTGGCTGTCGCTGTCACTGTCACTGTCGCTGTCCTCGCTTCTCCCGCTGCCGTCTCCTCCCCTCCCCCACACTCGCCAGCGTCCTCACACGTCGCCCGCCCACGCCCACGCCCACGCCCACGCCCACGCCCACGCCTACGTTCGCCCACGCTGCTGTACGAGGGCAGCGCAAATGACGCCAGCTGTGGCAGTGGCGACACCCGCCGTTGGCTGGCGAGCTTCCAGTTGGGCCGCAATGTCTGCAGCTAATCATGAACCTTGATGCCACACTACACCAAGCAGCAAACCCGGCCTGCCATCGCCCAAACACCGGCCTGTCAGATGCCTTCACGCACGCTCACGCCCTCTTCCTACCACCGACCGCCGACCGGTACTTCATCGTCACATCACATCAATAATATCTATCGCGTACAATAGGAGCAAGATCCGCAAAAGCCTGACCAGGCAGCCTTGCATTCGACATCGCCACGCGCGCTGCAGCTCCCCGACCCATGCTGCGAACCAGCGTCACCCACTGTGGCCTACACTCACACTCCTCGCTGACTGCAACATAGATGTAAGCACATTCCCAACGAGCCTGCCGAAGCTCTCGATCAGCACTTCGGTGCGCCTTCAAAACCTATCTGGCAGAACAGTGGCCGGCTTCATCATCAACTCATCTCGCCTCGCCAGGCGAAGCATGCATTTCCTCGAATGCTCTAGCTGTCGTGGACCACTGCCATTTGTTGCTAATGTATAGACTGCCTGCCTCCCGCCGTCTTTTGCAGATGCATTGCATATGGCCCTCTCTAGAGCAAGCGAGATGTCAAGGAAGCCTTGTTGACCTTAGGCATCATGCTCTCACCTCTCCTTTTCCAACGACTGCAATATATTGTCGGCTACGTTCATCGCAGCACGCGCAGCAACCCACCAACGGCACCTGGTACTGGCTGCCGCAGCCAAATGCAGAGAAGTGCTCACCGAACTCGGAAATGTGGAAACACCCAATTTCTGCTGGACGCCGTCGCGTCACCCTTGATTGTCCTCCGCTGCCTTTCTCCATCTACACAGGCGCCCGAATGTCCTTGCGCATGAGCCTGTCTCGAATCGTGCGACAGCATGCTCGAGCTTTCGGATAAGCGATTCGAGAGCACGAACAGAAGGGGAAAATGCCCGAAGCGACGGTTCTGAAGAAGTCCGAGGGTAGCATCGCACTGCCCTACGCCCTCGGAACCTTCACCTGTCGAACGACGGACAAGCCAGTAGCAATTGCTTCTAGGGCCACTGCCCAACCTGTGCTAGGCGCAAGGCTATGCCTACAGGCACTCATGAACCAGCCTTTCCGACAGATTCCATTAGAGAGTCACAACTACTCCAATGTGCCTTGTGCCTGGAACGGCGGTGAAGGAATCGCATACTGTTCTGAACATGCCACGCTTAACGTTCATCACTGCGCTGTCGAACCGGAGCATATCCTGCAAGTAAATTTGCCGACAAGATAATGCTTACTGTAAGTTCAAACTTCATGTTATGTCTCAAAATATTATTGGACTGCCTCATTATTGGTCCCTGCTTGCGGTAGAGATCACGTCGTACTAGGGCACCTCACGCAGCAGGCCATTCTCACAAGCTAGGGTTCCGGCGTAGGACTCATTGTCAATCTGCTCTCCGATCTTGCCAATTGGTATCAATGCCAACAAGCTCCAACCTTCAATACCTTATGAAATTATAATGGCAATGCAAGGTGCGAGCCTTTGGGCTTCTTGCTGCCCGAATGTTCAGGATTATCGCGTATGTCAAATCAAGTCGCTGACGTTAGAAAGATCGACACAACTGTCACAACATGATCCGCGTCGAGAACTAATTTACTGTCACTCGAACATGCCGAAAAGCTTACAACGGCGGACTCTTATCCGGGTTCTCACTTCATGATGGACTCCCGAATGTGGAAGGGAAGAGGTTGACCGCATTTCATGGCAGTAATCAGCATACACAACAACGTCGATCATTCCTCTTTGACGCTTATTAGCATCTGATGAAGCATCCTTAGAGCATTCTACACCATTGTCCAGGCATACTATGTATCCAATATGGACCAAAGGAGGCACTGCTCAATCATTATTACTAGCGTCTCGTATATGCAGTCGTAAATGCCAAAGTTTCATGACAATGGGTAAGTTACCAGGAGGGCCTGCATGGTCTATCGGGCAGCCCAACTATAACCATGCTGAGCCTATCTGTCAAGTGTCGGACATGCTCGGATTTTCAGATTTGGTCCTTGCTCGTTTCAACACTGTAGGGACCGGCATAGAAGTTACATGCAAAACAGCCTTGCTATATGGTCCACGCTTCATTATCATCACCTTTCCATCGGGACCAAGCATGGCTAGGGCTCTCAATCGCAACCATGCCATGCCGATGAATCGATAATTTGTCGATTAGCGCACCGGACCGCACTCCGTTGGGCATATACCGCTCCTTTGGGCTGGGCGTAAATGAGACAAAGACGGGCATATTCCTTGAAGCCACGCTGTGCTCCACGGCTTTTTGTACAGATTATTCCGACGATGTCGCCGCATGGCTGCTCAACAAGGCAAGAGGAGCTGTCTGTCCCCTCTTCTCGGCTCCTGACAACGAGCCACGAGCCGTTGCATAGTTCCTTCACCATAGTGATCTGGACGAAGAGTGGATACAGCGTCTGACCACATCGGAGTGAAACACTTACTGATTATTTGGGAAAGCTCCTCCACTGCCGATCAGAGATACATATGTGCATCAAGTCTCTCGCGGCTGAGTTGAGCCTTTCACCCTTCGGCACACTTGTTTTACGATTTCATGCAGCAGAATGCACTCAAAGGAGATGGACATTCGGTACACGCCTCCACGACGTTCGCCTTGCCAGATCAGGACACAATGGGCTACACGCTCGTTGCTTCGTTGCTTCGCCTTGTAACGAGCTGGGTCGTCCGCTTTCCCATTGTGTCCACGAGAATGCAACGCGATCATTGACCACGTCCATGGAGGAACGCTGGCATCGTGGCAGAGGTGCATCGCAAACACCACAGCCACATGTAGTCCTGGCAAGCGCCACAGTCATTGCATTGCATCATGGGTTTGTCTGTGCAGCGCCATCGCAGCTTCCCGAGTCGCCAACGGTTTGCTTGTTTGCTTGTGCCAAGATAGAAAGCAGGTTTCGATCGCCTTGGCTGATGAGGGAGGCGCGCTTCATGGTGGCTGAATGATTGTGAAACAAGCAACCTTCACCTGCACTTCAACATACAAATACCTGCACAAAGCAGAGACTCCGCGGTTACGCTACAGATCAACCAGTCGTGAGAGCTAAACACGAAACATGCCTTTCATGTGGACCAAGGTATATGAGCGCGCCTCTTCATGATCGAGACTGCTGACATGTTATTATCAGAACTGGGGCGGCAAGCACGCAGGCGGGGGTGTTCGCGTCGACAAGCACGGCGTTCATAGGAACCCATTCCGATTCTCCTGCGGTGGTCTGAACTGCTTCCGCTAAGCAAACACTGCAAACGTCTACCATCATCATACGAAGAAACCTCTACACCCATGGCAAACAACACATACGAGATATGAATCCGCGGAGACGAGCAAGAGAACGCGAAAGTGTGCGAGAGGTATGCCAGGAGGAACCAGCGATAGCCAATTATTGATTACTTGGCCTGGTGAGACAATGACATAAAGAACATGAGTGCATTGTTCTGAGCTTGTTCACTACGAGTTGCGACTTTGTCTTATTCCAACGAAGAGTCATGAAAGCCAATCTACGTTGAAGCGTGAGCTTGTGAATGGGATTGCAGGGCACATATAACACGTCGATTTCCTCGAAGACGAATTTTCGTGCATTACTCCATCAAAGGTTGGGTTATTAGGCGGCTGAGCATTCAACATGTCGCCTCCGGAGCAAGAAATAGTCATCTCCCTCCCAGATCTTGACTTTCTTCCAGGCGCAAGCAAACGACAGAAGACCGCGATCAGGGCCGCACATGAGGCTCTATGGCTTCGATACGAGAAGAGTGGTATGGTCGGCAAAGAGAAGAAGTGGAGGGACATCATCAACGCTAGCCGAGAGCTGATAATAGCCGCGCGCATTCCTATCCAACGCCATGTCAACGAAATCCGTGCGGAACTCGATCCATGCTGGCAGGCGTACCTTGATATTGGAGTCAAGTTTTTCTTGAACATTCCTACCGCGATCTATGGCGCGGGCATCGAGGATATGCTTCCTTCGTACGAAAGAACTCTGCTCAGATTCATCTACGAAATCGAGCCGCAGTCAACGCTGATGAACTTTGCAGCAGCTCAGAAAAGAATCGATGAACTCGACGTCGCCCTCACGAATGGACTTTTTAGGCAGGTAACTGAAATTCTTGACGATTTGCGTGATTGTGCCGAGGACATGGGCGAAGATTGGGAGAAGATCGAGGCCTGCTATGAGGCTATGCTCGCAGCCGCGAACAGCCTACGTACATCCGGGAGACTCAGCACGGGAGATCGATTTATGGAGGAGGACCGTACTGCCCAGTTACTGGACTGGGCTGTCTTGGTTCAAGCTTTCGCCTGCAGGACGCCGAGGGAGTTTCAGCAGTATGCCAACGAGCGTGAAATATACGACTGAAGTGGTAAGTCAGGTCAGCTGAGCAATCATTCATTTAGCGTAAGATGCGTCTTTCTTTCTTCAATGCTTATCCCTCGCGTGTGAAACTCATTTCCTCTCACTCAGCATGAATTTTAGGAGCGCAAGCAATGGTGGCCCCATTGGAAACCGTCAAGGCTGACAAAGCTATCAAATATGAAGCGCCTTCGACGTCTTGTTGAATTTATGAGCGTGATTTTGGAGAAGAGGGCGAAGATGAGCTGTCTAGGGTCGCGTGCATTATGTGAAGGCTGTGCAATCGCATGGTCATGCTCCGAGGGCGAATTTCAGCACAGTATCCGAGGCTCTGTCACACACTCCGCCCCTCGCGATCAGCGGGGTGAAGTGACTGAAGAAACCCCGGATACAAACCCCAACAATGGATGAATAGACAGCCGCAAGAGCTTTATGGAGATGTTTTGCGAGCAATATAACCCATCTAACGGATTGCAAAGGCTCTTCCCTATTGAGATTCGTGAAGCTCAAGAGGGCTTGTCTTTTTCGTAGCAAAAGATGTGCCGGTTCAACTGCTATGCAGGATTTGTTTCCTGCACTTATTTCTTGATCACACGTGGTTGATCATCGCAGACGAACGCCACAAATGATAGGATGCTGACCTCGTCCTGGCATGCTCGCTTCGGTATGCATTTGCATTCGTTGAGATGACCGAAGCCGTTGTTGCGTTGGTCTTCGGTCGACGGTAACTGACGGGTTCGAGCGTTGGTTTGGCTGCATGGCCACACAGCGTGAGGAGTGCATGCTGCTGGAGCGACCATGTGTACTGAGAAAGCTGACTGCATGGATTGATGGGACCTGATCGCGAACACGTGCGGTGCCTGGCTGCATCTGCTATGATGACGATGCCATCGCGCAAGTCTTGAGCAGTGGCTACTGTATGTCTCTCCTCCGCCATGTCCTCTCGACGCCTCTCAAACACCGGCGGCGTGTCGAATCCAACGCGTGCTTCTTGACATGCCGTCACACGAGGTGCACTGGCAGGTCAGTTGTACCTTTCGCCAGGAGCATCCCCATTGTCGTGTGATGTACCTGCACAGCGAGAAGAGCTGTTGGAACACTGCATATTGCTGACTTCGGCAAAAAAGAGCAGCTCAGCGAATACGTGCCGCGACATGTTGACACGGATTTTTTATGTGTTGTGGTATGTCTTCACAGCCTGCTTTGCAAACATGCTTGCTGACCGCCAACAATATGCGTACGAACACGCTCTCGCTAGTGATGGAAGGCCGATGCTACGCTATCTATACCCGTAAGCTCGACATATGCTGTCTCGCTTGGACCCACCTCCGACACTGCTATGAAAATCACGGTTCCTCTTGGCTCGCGCGGTCCTCGACTCCACCTAAATACTAGAGTCCTGGAAAGTATTCTAGCTTTCTCCCAAATGCAGTCTCCACTACTGCTTGCCTCATCGCCAACCGCTGAGCAACATGCCGGACTGCCGTGATCAGACCAGCGTGCGAGTTCGCGTGAGGAGGTCATAGTACAATAAGCAGAGCAACCTCCTCGCCTGCTCTTGTTTACCATCTTTGGACGCTGTACCTCGACGGGCCCCTATATTTCTTTCGCTTTCCCTCTCTCGTCTGGTACATCATTCTTTCGCTTATTCATTCTTTCGCTATACTGCTTGAAGCTTCTCACAATGGCTAAGCTCCACTTGCTTGTCGGAGCACTATGTGCTTCGGCTGCAAATGCAACGCCTTATAAGCCTGCTTATTCTCCCCCAGCATATGGCGGCGGAAGTTCTTCATGGGGCCCTTCATCGTCTAGCTCAAGCAGATTAAGCAGTTCCACTGCTTGGGCCACTCATCCCAATGGACCACCTCATTATGGAGGCAGCTCTCCCTGGGAGCCATCTTCGTCGGTCAGCCCAAGCACTGCCACTGGATGGGCGACACATCCTAATGGACCGCCCCATTATGGCGGAGAAAACAACACACCAGGTTACAGTGGCTCTTGGTCTTCATCCTGGTCTCAGAGTACTTGCTCCGTCTCAACGGTGACGGTGACTTCAAGCTACACTCAGCCAGCTAAGCCAACTACAGAGACGACCACAATCATCGAGACTGTTCCAGGAACTCCAGTTACAGTAACTCAATGGGGCAAGCCAAGCTCTTGTCCAGTGGTGCCGCCCCAAATTTCGACAACCACGGTCTCCAGGGTCGAGTACACGACCGTCGGTGGGCCAACAAGCATTGCCACTGTGCAGAACACGAAGACAATCGAAGAGACACAAATCGTAACGGCGCCTGGGACTACAGTCATTAAGTACTCTACAATCCCAGCTGGACCTCCCGTTACTGCAACAATTGTTCAGACAGTCGGCACGACTGTGACGTCTGTCTCTACTACGAAGGAGATCATCATCGAGACCGCCACTCAGACTTTGCCGGGTAAGGCAGAAATCGACCGAGATCCAACTGCGTTTCTCGAAGTTGATCGCTGATCTTTCACACTTAGGCACAACTATCACGAGCACCTCCACGCTTGGCGCGTCGACAATCACAGAGTATCAAACCATAACCTCTGACTTTACTTCCACCATAACGTGAGGTCATTCTACCGTGCAGTCATCGAATGACGTTCTGACTAGCGTAGATCTGTTGTTGCTCCAAGCACTATCACTAGCGTTTACACAAGCACTCTGCCTGCTATCACTACAACATCAACGACTTATCAAGTCATCGCCACGCCGGCTTATACCACGATCACACAGACTCTTGCTCCGTCAACGATCACCTCGACCGAGAGTAAGTAGCAATGTCTTGTCCTTTTTAAGTTTGGTATCAGGCTTACTGATGTTGCGAGTAGTGGAGACAAAGACGATCCCAATCACGATAACTACTACTAAGACGCTGGCTCCAAGTAAGTGCTTTTCGCAGTCCCTCAAAGCTCCAAAATCGCTCGGTTGGCCAAAGCACGAGTTGCAATCACTGCTTGAATGGTCTTCGTTCTGATTGAAGTTGTGTCTTGAATCACTGCTGACTTGCTGCCAATTATTAGGCACTGTTACCTCTACTTGCGTGGAGACTTACACCCAGCCTGTCTATGAGACCACGACTCAGACTCTGGCTCCAAGTGAGTTACCTAACGGCTCTCCAAATCCTGGAATAGCTGCACTAGCCATGTCTTGGCTGGCAGTATTGTTCGGCGCATTTTTGAAGAAGTGCTATTCCTTATGCTCAGACTGAAACTGACAATTTACTTTTCCTAGGCACCATCACCTCGATCGAGACGAAAACCTACACGCAGCCAATTACTATCTACTCTACCATCCCAGCAGGCACAGCACAGACCGTGGTGATCACGAAGACAGCTGCCCCAAGCACCTATACTCAAGAACAAACAGTCACTCTCACCAAGCCAATTACCGAATTCATTACAAAGACAGCGGCACCATCGACTATCACCAAGGAAGAAACAGAAACCCAGAGCGTTCCAGTGACACAGATCATCACCAAAACCGCGGCTCCATCTACGGTCACGAAAGAAGTTGAGGAAACCAAAACGGCTACGGCTACCGCAACGGCTTACAAGCAGACTACGATTGTCTCTACAGTCACAGGACCAGCAACAACTATCACCGTATCTGCTTCTTGCTCGAGCACATGGAGTGGTCACGGGTGGGGCCCATCTCACTCTTGGGGCCCACACTCGAGCAGTCAATGGAGTAACGAGCAGCCACCGAAGACTTCCTCGGAACCTTGGTCGCACCCAACTGTTCCAGGTTACGGTCCTCCATCTTCCGTTAGCAAGACTTGGGAGACCTCTGAGAAGCCAACCGGTTATGGCCCACCAAGCTCAATCTCTGCTTCGGAAGTCCCAGCTAAGCCAACTGGCTACGGAGGCCCAAGCTCTAGCCAGGGCTGGGACGCACCAAAGCCATCCAACAGCGCGCCTGCAGGACCAGATGGCTACGGCTCTTAGATATGTCACGGACGACATGTCGTTGGAATGACAACTGCTTTATAAGAATCTAGGGACCGGATAATACTCACTCACGATCCTTGAAGAACGAAAGTAATTTCTGTTTAACCTTTATCTCTGGATAGAGGACAAATGCTCATCAAACGCTTCTGAAATGTTTCTTTTGCTCACTTCCTTTCTAAAGACCAAGTACCAATCTCACGGTCCTTCACAAGCTGTACAGACATTTCGTTGGCTTGCCTCTCCATATCTTGGCTAGTGTCCACGGTTCCCGCTATTTGGTCGGTGTCAACGCCATGCAAGACTAATGCGAGACTCGACTCCTTCCACACAGGACTCGCATCTGGATCCGTGCTGAGGATGAAGGCAATCATTGTTGCAGCGACGATGATGGTGAGACCAGCAGGATAGATGAACCAAACCCAATGGACGTGCACATGTGTGACTGGAAAGTACACATCTCCTCTCACGTTGCTTCCGGGAGAGTTGCGGCGAAGCGCATTGGTGAGGCTGACGGCGATATTTTGCATTGTCTGCGCGAGGTTGCCGTGATTCGCGTGATAGAGCGCCAGATTGAAAGGCGACTCTGCCACAGTTTGATTGATCCACGGATGCCGAGGATCGCTGTTGAACTGGTCAACGACCAGGACTCGCTCAATGAGCTCTCGGAAAGCCTTCAAAGTAAGAATGTCGACGCTGTATGTGTTTGGCCCATGACGGATCCTACACACCGGACAAGTGTACTGGGTGGCAAATATTTCCGGCCTGTGCTTTGCCCGACAGTCGCAAGCATCGGTATCGACAGACAGCGTCGTCCTTCTGAATGCGTCGTTCAATGATTTATCAAGCAATTCCGAGCCCGGAAATTTGAGCGATGCGATACTTAGCGAGCATTGATGTATCTCCGGTTTTGGAAGCTCACTTCGTATTGGGTACTGGCTGTTGTATCGAAAGGTTGTGATGTGCTGAAACGTCCCTTGCGCATCGATAACGCGATGCTGATTGACATCAACGTGTCGAACGTGCAGGTCAAGGAGACTACGAGTATTTATGTCCATCGCAGTGGTCTCGAGAGCAGCTGCAAACACTTCTCCGTTGGGCGAGGTGAAGTTGCAGTAATGATGAGAGGTCTTGGTGATTTTGCTCTTGGTCGACTCACAGTCCACTCGTACGCTGGATGATACGTCTTCGCAACCGGCAGAGATCCCAAGACTGTCAAGTTCTGGCCATTCACAGGTGCCCGCAGAACAGTGAGAGTGTGGAGCTTCCAGGTCATCGATCTCATGCATCTCGCACGAGCTCGAAGGACAATGGTAGTATGGTTGGACTGGCTGAGACAATATGGCCTGGTTGATTGCAACGAACAAATTTTGTATAGTCAACTCTGCGCATCGAAATCAGTCAACAGCGAGCGACTTGAGAATAGAGCCGAACCAACTCACCACCGTTATCCAGGGACTTATGAAACGCAAACGTCCTACCAATCCATGCTTCACCATCTTTCGCCTTCACGAGCTTCAGATAAGGCGACAGTGTTTGCTGGGCGCACGGATCCATGGCCATTGTGAGCAGCGTCAGCACCGCACCCAGAATGACCCATTTCGATTCTCTTCTGCCCATCCAAATCAGGCTGATACAGCCCAGTGGACCGCGACTCGCAGAATCAAATGTCTGCAAGTGAGCCAAAGGTCTTGGCTTTCGCGTGAAGTACGGCCACTTCAGCTGGCTGATACAAGAGGCGACCACGAGGGCGAGAGCAGCCTTCTGGAGAGTCGCAAAGATGGCGATCAGAGCGTTGGGCGTGATTTCGGTCGTTGCGACGGTCCAATTCTCGTAGGGCTTGTCGTCAATAGCGCACAGAATGGCAATCAAGACGCCGACACATATTGCGCTGAACAGAGCGGCGATCAGCTCCAAGGTCCAGAGAGACATCCAGTGCGGGTCCTTCGTTGCTGCATTCCCCATCGTGTGCGCACCGGATTTCGCGTGCAGCTCGCGTGCAGCTCGCGCGCAGCTCGCGTGTTGCTGCTGCTCAGTGCAATGCGTTCCGTTGCGTCGACAAGGCGTGAGGAAGGCACAAGGGCCTTCTCAAGGCAATCGCATCTCGCATCTATTTCGCAGAACTGTCAAGAGCGCTTACAAGTACAGATGAGAGGCCGCATTCGGGCCTGCAGGTGGTGTTACGTGTTACACTTCTCACTCACTTCCAATACCGCCCGGCTCATTCTCTGCTTCCTCTCCAGTCGCGCCCGGGCACATGGGGACGCAGATCACCACATCCATCTACTTCCGGCTAGATCTCGTTAAGGGGCATATCGGAATCCCTTCACCTTCTCCAGCTTCTCGACGATGCCTTGATCAGCTCGCCAATTCTGCCCGGTGAAGAACCAGGATAGGAAGCTGGTGACAAAGATGTAGACGAACAGCATTCCGATGGTAGCCCAGATGCCCGAAGTATACTGTGGCGCGTCCTTGTGTTGGAAGATGGTGCTTCCTGAATACCAACAAATCAGCACTGCTCATCCCAAGGTTCTGTCTGTGCGCCGACTCACCGCAAATGCCTCCGATGGCCCCAGCACTCACAACCGCAGCAGCCGAAATCCCTTTCTTTTCGTACCTCCCGGTTTGGTTTTGGACGTAACTCAAGGTGAAGGGGATATTCGATTGAGTCCCGTACGTCGCCAGGAACATGCCAAAGTACCTCCAGCCAGGAGGACCAGCATAGCGCATTATGGCCAGTCCGACGATTGCTATGGCAGCCTGGAATATCATGATAGGCCAGCGAAGCTTGATCTTGTCGCTTATCCAAGCCGCGAGGACGCCCGCAAGGATCGTGAAGATGTAGGGAGGGGCGACGAGAAGCTGTGCCTTTGCGACAGAAAATCCCATGCCTTCTCGTAAGATGATGGGATTGAAAAATGCGAGACTGTAGACGCTGGAAGCGCAGATGAAGTACTGAACACAGCTGAGAATGTCGTTAGTTGGACTGCACCTGCTTTCTAGCCGTGGATGACTCACTAAAGCATGATCTTCCAATCCATCAGCATGATGAAGGTTTCTTTCCAGGTGGGATGAACGATATTCGTGCCTTGTTGATCCATCCGGACTCTCGAGACCGCAATATGTCGTTGACGATCAGTGAGGAATCTCGCGCGTTCGGGGAACTCAATCAGGAAGAACGGGGCTACGAAGCCAGCAACGATGGTCATGATGCCCTCGCAGATGAAAAGCCTAAAGCAGGATCATTGGTTTGGTGTAAGAATCAGGTCAAACAAGTGCTCTCACCATCGCCAACCACGAGCGTACATGCCATTGCCGACCTTGATCTGAGTGAAGCCATAGGCGATGATGGGCCCAAAAGCCATGAAAACGCCTGCCAGCATGAAGAAGCCCACAACTCGCTTCGCCAACTCGTATGGACGATACCAGCATCCAATAATGAAAATAGCTCTGCGATTATCCTGTTAGTCAGCGTATTCACTGCTCCCGTCCTTGATACCCACCCAGGCAATAGGCCGGCCTCAAATAAGCCAAGCAGGGCTCTGAGACCTGCCAATGTCTCCCACTTCTGCACGAACCCCATACTCAGGACACTGAATTATGATCTTAGCATATTGTCGCTCTCATTTCTTGCGTGACCGACATACCTTGTGCCCCAGGCGACGATCAAGAAGCTCAACCACCACCTCGCACCGATGCGTCTAATGATGTAGTTTGACGGGAGCTCGAAGACGAAGTAAGGTGCGAAGAACACCAACAGTGCGATATTATACCGATCGCCAACGTTCATTTTGAGGTCCTTGCCCATGCCCGAAATAAAGGCGAAAGAGATGTTCGTTCGATCGAGAAGGGAAAGACCGAAGACAATGGCCCTACCAAGACGGCATAGATTAGCGCGACTGCACATCACATTCCATCTTGATGGCTTCTTTGCACTTACAGCATTGGATACATTCTGAGGTCGACTTTTCGCTTGATCATCTTCTCCTCTTCTACTGACCAGTCTCGCACCAGGACATTGGTCTCAGCGGTGCTGTCGTCAACATGCCCCTTTTGCTTGCGCGAGCCCTTGAGCTCGATATACTCTGCTCGGTCACTCATGGCGCTGAGACTTGAAATGCTTTCGAGGTGGCCTTGATGCTGCTGATGAAGTTTTGGCCGCTGAAGGGCGCATCGTGTTTCATATCATCGTAGATCAGCAGTTGCATGGCATTCGTGTTCCACCTGTCATGTTTCAGCGTATTTTAGTTAAGTGCCGAGGCTGCGGTATGGTTGGCATGGTATGATCTTCCGGAAGATAACCATACCATGCGTGTCGTGAACTCTATGCGATGCGGACACGAACTCGTCGGTGAGACTGACTATCCGAATGGATATCTCGACATGCGAAAGGAGAATTGCCTGATGCGTCCGAGGGCATCCGAATTAAGTATGCGCATTTTAGCCTAGAAAGCCATTATTTTACGAGACAGTAGTTAGGTGATGAGGATACGACTGCTAATTGTGTTGTCGTCACATACCTGACGCACCTGACGCACTTTTTTAGGGCCAGAGTACATTTTTGAAATACAGCCTGGTCGGATCCGCTGGGTACATGGATGGTGCCTGGGTTTGGCTGTCCTGCTTGGGTATGTGCCATGCCAGCAATCTTACCTTCACGGGGGATGTTGGTTTCAAAGGGAGGTCTTGGCGACAGATTAGCAGGCACGGAGCAGGCCACCAAGGTACTGAAATTCTACTCTCGGCTTCTGTACGATCAATCAAGGTGATGGCCTTGTGTTGTTCTTCCAAATCAATGGTAACTCTATTTTGTGAAGACAGTAAGCCCCTCGAGGGTTGTCCTTGCAGCAGGTCTGGTGAGGAAGGAGGTGCGAGAGCCCATCTTGAGCTGTTGCGCACGCGTATATTTGGTTTAAACCCGAGGGTGGTTGGTTGGCGGCCGCTTATCAGTAAAGGGACATGGGAAGGTGCTGTACAGACGCAGGGCACGCTCTTCGGACACATGCCGTTTTGCAGGACGCAGCAGAAGCGACGGAACTATATGTGGTGCAATCGAGTATCATTGACTGAAAATTATCGACTCCTTCTCGGTTGCTCGCATGATGGCGGTCGAGGGAGCTCGTCAAGCCGGGTGCAATCGTTTCTGCCAATCGATCCCGCCATCGGCATGATGATAATGTGTCTCTGATTTCGACCGGCGCGGATGAGTGCTCAATCCGTTGATAGTAGCCAGCCTGGCATCTGCCAATGGAACTCAAAGATCTTTCCTCTCTGTCCATTTCTCGAGCAGCTCTGCTGGAGCGTCCTTGACCAAAACGTGAACATGGTCTACACCTCTCACACTTTGCAAGCTGACCCAGTTCTTGAACCACAAGACATTGTCCCTTCCATGCTCGCCGAGCTCTTTGATAAAGTAGTCTGCCACAAATTGCTCTATCAAGTGTCTGCTCTCCGGCGTCACATCACCGCGTGTATCGTCTGTCTTTATGGGTGTCTTGCTCCAGACCAGGATGTGAGCTATTCCAGGCGTGAATGCGTACGGCCAATCATTCAAGAGCACAGCATAGTCAGATCGCACGTGAAAAGGTGTTTCGGAGACATGCTCGAAAGTTGGCGGAGAAAGGGTCAGCGGCTTCCACAGCAGTCTTTTCTGAATTACATATGGCGTGATGCCGCCGTATTGCTTCTTGATGTTGTATGACCAGGCGAGGTACTTCCGCAGATCCGATGGCAGGCGTTTGAGGTCTTCGAGCGTGTTGTTCGCTGCAGAGCCGGCATGAGCTGCCGACACAGTAGAACTAGTTCTCCGCGCAAAGCCACGACGTACCGATTATTCGCTTCAGGTGCTCCCACGTAATGCGATGATAGTCCTCATCCTTACTGGCGAGAACCTCGCGATCAATGGGGGTCAATGGAAACGGAGGATCTTTGTAATCAATTTCATCGGCAGTGACTTGGTGGGGAGCAGCCGCTTCACCCATGGCTGAATGTGGCAGTTTCCGGCACGGGAATGGTTCCTTTGTTTGCGGGAGCCATCGTGGGCAGCATGAGCACGAGTTCAGGGGCAAAGAAGGAAAATGTCTCAGTGTCGGCGGTGGGATACCGCTTCCGCTTCGGTTCCTATTTTCTGGCTCGGCCTCGGCCTCTGTGCGCATCGCGTTTCATGGCTCGATTGGGTGTGGGGTGCGGAGTGGGCTCGGCAATAGAATAATTCGGACCATTCGACGACAATTGAGCTTCCCACGAAGCTGCAATTCAGGAATTGAGCAGCTACACGGCTTGTTCAAGCTGTACAAGACAAGGCGTACACATCACTATGGCAGTCGACGCCAGCAGTCCGCTGCTGCAGTACGCTCCGTACATTGTAGCTGCGCTTGCCGTCTTCATTGGCGCCGGCGTCTACCTGGTTCTTAACCGTATGCGTATCGTTTGCAGAATCGCTTTCATCTGCTTGGCACAATCGCGCTAATTCATCGGTAGCAGAGCCAGCGGCAGCGAAATACAAGAAAGTCCTCGATCCCAACAACTTCCAAGAATTTCCCATCACCGAAAAGACCCAGATCTCGCACAACACTGCCATCTACAGATTTAAGCTGCCTACCGAAGACAGCATCCTTGGACTTCCCATCGGTCAGCACATCTCACTCGCCGCGACTCTTGATGTCACCGACCCAAAGACCGGCAATGTCGAGCGCAAAGAGGTGGTCAGATCATACACGCCAATCTCTGGTGATCATCAGCCGGGCTACTTCGACCTCCTCATCAAAAGCTATCCCCAGGGCAATATCTCGAGACATATGGCTACCTTGACTGTTGGCGACAAGATGAAGGTCAAGGGTCCAAAGGGAGCTATGGTGTACGAGCCAAACATGGCAAGCCGCATCGGCATGATTGCTGGTGGCAGTGGTCTCACTCCTATGCTTCAAGTCGCCGATGCTATCAAGAGAGGCCGAGCACATGGTGACAAGACCCAAGTCAACTTGATCTTCGCCAATGTCAACGAGGAGGATATCTTCTTGAGGAAAGAGCTCGATAGATTAGCCGAGGACCCTGGCATCGATGTTTACTACGTCTTGAACAACCCACCGGACAAGTGGACTGGCGGTGTGGGCTTCGTCACTGCAGAGATGATTAAGGTGAGCAGGGCTCCAGGAAAAAATCGATGAAGCTTTACTGATCGAGAATAGGAACGTCTTCCACCCCCAGCTCCGAACCACAAGATCTTGATCTGCGGTCCCCCTCCCATGGTTTCTGCTCTGAAGAAGGCGACCGAGTCGATGGGCTACGACAAAGCTCGACCAGTCAGCAAGCGTGATGATCAAGTCTTCTGCTTCTAGAGATCCACGCTGCTAGCTGGAGGCCTCCATCCGAACAAGTCCGGCGTTGATGCGTTTCCTCCCGAATCCGAGCCTGCAGATGTTATGACCTCGTCCGTCGCGTTCGAGCGTTTGGTTTTTAGATACGAAAGAGCTGGCACAAGCATGGCGTTCGAAGCAGATATCAATGTAGAGCTGTGTACAGCCAACCAGGGCGAAATGTGCAGCCGCGGAAATAGCATTTCCTTCGCCCAAAGAAGCCCTGCACCACTGCTGAACCAGAATCGTGTCTGAATACGAATGCGAAAGGGAGCCAGCCCTGCGGAAAAATACTACCGTAGACATGATCAGCAGCTCGGTAGGACAACTAATGCAGGGTTCGAGTAGAAATGATTGGTACTGCAGCTCTTCAGCGACCATCGGGTATTCCGGCGGAATGCCGAGATCTTTGCATAATCAGTGCAACACTTTATCAAGTGTATGTTCCTGAACCTGTACTTATCGTCCTCGCAGAAATGGCATTTTCGAGATTCTCAATCCTGAGCCTTCTCTTATTCAGGAGTGTTGGCTCTGCTGAGCTGCGAGAATTCGGCGACAGTGAAGATGGCGGTATACACTTGTATGGCAATAACTCGAAGCACAACTGTGCTGTCGCTGTGATTTACTCGTTCACTGTAGCCTCGAGATGTGCTGTGCTGACTGGCATTTTAGTGCGCGAAATTGCACGAACTGCCAAAGGTACAAGTGACCTCTACCTCTAGCAACACCACGCAATTCGATCTCGAAAAATCCGATTTCTGGTCTTCATTCCAAGCCGAAGTCTCTCCATCTTGCTTTGTCAGTCCAAGGTGCCCGGAAGAGGTGGCGAAAATTCTGGATATACTGAAACATACCGAGTGTCGATTCGCGGTCAAATCTGGAGGTCATGCAGCCTTTCAAGGAGCGAGTAATATCGATCGTGGCGTGACCATCCTTCTCAAAGAACTTGATGCACTTGAGCTCGACCGCGATGCTGGAATCGTAAAAGTTGGAACCGGAAGTCTCTGGATTGATGTATATGAGTATCTTACGCCGAGAAAATTGTCAGTCGTAGGTGGAAGAGTGACTGGAATCGGCGTGGGCGGCCTGGTCCTTGGAGGCGGCATAAGCTTCTTCAGTGGAAGGTATGGCTGGGCTTGTGATGGTGTGAGGAACTTTGAAGTTGTCGTCGCTAGTGGCGAGATTTTGCAGGTCAATCAAGACTCGTATCCGGATCTGTATTGGTCGCTTAGAGGTGGTGGTAACAATTTTGGAATCGTGACAAGAATGGACTTGGAAGTCTTCGAGCAAGGTGATTTGTGGGGTGGAAGTATTACATTGCCATGGACCGTCAAGGATGAGGTGATCGATGCGCTGTATGATTTTGGTCGAAGGCAATCGAGTGAGAACGAGGAGGTTGATGTGGATGCCAGTGTCTGGGCGGCTTTCGGATATACTCAGCAACCTCAACCTGGAAAGTTCATTTCGATCGAACCCGTGTATGCGAAGCCCGTTGAGAATCCCGTGGTCTTTGAGAATTTCACGAAACTCAAACCTGTCTTGATGAGTACTGCCAAGATCAGGAATTTGACGGATATTTCGAAAGAATTGAATCAGAGCAATCCTAATGGCCTTCGAGAGACATATTGGACGCACAACTTCATCCTGACAAGGGAGGTCATGACAAAATGCCTGGAAATTTTTGAAGAGGAGCTGAAATCCATTGAGGACGTGGAAGGCATCGTGCCTGTGATGCTCTTTCAACCACTCACTACAGCGGTCATCCGAAAATTCGCAAGGAATGGTGGAAATGCTCTGGGCATCACCGACAAGGACGGTCCTTTGCTGTTGATGTCGGTTCCAATAATGTGGTCGGACTCAAGTCGCGACGACGAAGTTTTGGCGTTCGCGAGGACTGTCATAGATAGATGCGTCGAGGAAAGCCGCAAGCTGGGGGCTTTTCATCCGTATATCTATCAGAACTATGCGGCAAAAGAGCAGAGGGTGTTTGAGAGCTATGGGAAGGCCAATCCGGAGAGGTTAAGAGCTGTGAGCGGAATGCATGATCCCGATGGCGTGTTCCAGAGGTTACAGCCCGGATACCACAAGCTGTGGTAAGGCTGATAGTAGTTGACATCGCTGCTGGCTAGATTAAAGTCATTTCCTGTGAATCTGTCATCAGATAGAGCCGTATTGGACGGAAGTGCTCCCAATCTTGGCTGCTGGCCATTTTTGGAGCTATATAATCAGCCCGCATTTCACATTTTATAACAATCAGTGTAGGTCACTCGCGGCTTCCATGGTCTAGTGGTATGACGTGTCCTTCACACGGACAAGGTCCCGGGTTCGATCCGTATGTTAAACCTCCTTGTTCCAGGCTATCGGCCGAGTACTGACAGGTGATGTAGCCGGTGGGAGTACAATTCATCTATGGGTGAGATTGTAAACTATTCTTTTTGCTTGTCGGTTGCTGTCTTGGCCGCGGACGGCTCTAGCAAAGTCCGAATGTCACGGGTGGGCGGACAAGCTAAGTATTCAGAGGAGAGCTGAGGGCAAGCTTTTTGGCCGTGGCAGTGAACAAAGCCTTGGCATTAACTACCAACTACTTAGGGCAACTTGTCAAGCACGCCGAACGCAAGGAGTATGAGAGCTCCATACAGATCGAAGAGAAGTCATGAGGTGGACAGGAGATACGCTTGGTGTGATTCGATGATAAACATGACTACCAAAACACCAGGAAGTATGATCAATTCCTAGCCGCTGCTGACATCGCGTTTCTTTTGCGCAGACGATGATTTGGAAGCGCAAAATCTGAGACGTTTTGTCAACATTGCTTTCTATGTCTATCGCATCTACACCATATCGTAATCTCCTCCTCGGCCGGTATGAATGCCACCACTGACAAGTATATCTGCTCCAGTAACATAAGTGGCAGCATCGCTGAGGAAGAAGATGGCGGCAGGCGAAACTTCATCTGGCTGGCCAATTCGTCCCATTGGTGGTGCAGTCTGCATCAAGTCACCAGCGGCCTTGGTGGTATGTTCTCTGGCACCTCTGGTCTGGTTTGTCTCAATAAAGGCGGGACTTATGGAGTTCACTCTGATGCCCTTCGGCGCAAGTTCTGCTGACAGGACCTTGGACAGCATTTTCACGCCACCCTTTGAAAATTGTAGCCAGCCATTCTATACCCTGGCAGGTTGACGTGAGCCGTTATGCTGGCGATGAAGACAATGCTGCCGCCTGTGCCTTGCTTCTGAAGCTGCTTGACTGCCAGCTGTGCTGCGAAGAAAGAACCCATAGCCTGCGAGTACGTCAATAAAAATGAGCTTTGCAAGCACGGCTGGGACATATACGTTGACTTGGAGCACTTTTTCGACTTCCTCCCACTTTTGATCAACAAATGGCTTGTCAATGGCGATGCCGGCAGCGGTCACAATACCATCGATCCTGCCTAACGACTGTACTGCCTTCTCAAAAGCAGCTGTCAAAGACTTCTCATCGCTGACATCTGCCTGGAAATAGTCTGCTTTCACGCCAAACTGCTTTGCTAAGCCGTACACGTCCTCAAGCGGTTCACTTCTGAGATCGAGAACTGCCACATTTGCGCCAGATTCTGCAATGTCTTTTGTGATGCAGTAGCCTGATCTCCATCAGCCTCGTATCAATAATTCCTTCAATTCTGCAAAAGCCTTACCAATACCCATGGCACCTCCAGTCACAATGTATGATTTGCCTTTGAGGCTGAATTTCGAAGTAATGCTCGTGGCTGCCATCGTGTCTGTTGCACTTTCCGGAGGAATTGATGATTGCAATCCCAAGCACTCAAGACTCTTTGCAGTCTCCTTTCACTCGACCAGATGCAAATTTGAGCAACTACGCCGGAACCGATGCCGCTGCACCGAATGTCTAATGTCTTCGCCGACTAATGCTGAGTTTGTTTCTCTTAGTTGATTTTGCCACACGGATCGGTACCCTGAATGTCAAGTTCTGATAAGAGAGCCTCCTCGCTACTTGTCTCTCTCGTGTTTCGACAATTCAACAAGCAGTGTCCTTCGCAGTAAGGTTGTCGTCTTCACACAAGGTCACGGACCGAGCCCCTTCACGCATTTCGAGTTGACCACCAGGGAGGGCAGCAAGCCACCGCCTCTCTTGGCTCTGCAGGAACACCGAACCCCATTCTTTATCAGAGTTTACCGGGTTGAAACGACGATCGTACGGGTTGATCCAGAGCTTGGTAGGCTTGGATCCAGGGACGACGAGATGGAGACGAGCAATTATTAGCGTATGCGGGGTGCACCAGGAAAGCGGCCGGACCGCGCACTGAGTGTGGAAAGAAGGGGGTCGATGCATGACCGAGCTGGCGACGACGCAGACGCGAACGCGAACTCACCTCCAGCTCAGCTGTGGTGGCGGCGACACAATGGCGGTATACATGTTTCTTATCAGTGAGCGGAGGAGTACACCCGTTAATGAACCTTCTCCCGACGGCATTGGGTTGCGTGCGCTGAGTAGATATCAAGGAGGCCAGCACCGGAGAGAAATATCCATCTTCTGCTAAGAAACGCACGTCCAGAATATCCCTTTTGCAACATATGTTAGAAAGTGACACCACAATGGCTGCCGAGAAGCATGATATGGTCGTCATTGGAGCCGGTACGTTGTCACGCAATCATCCCAACATCTTCTCGGACTCAACACACTGATGACCAATGGCTTCCAGGTTGGTTCGGACTGGCGGCCGCAAAGACATACATTGAGCTTCACCCGACCGAAGACATCATTGTCCTGGAAGCTGAGAGCAGCTGTGGCGGCACGTGGAGTGAGAACAGGCTCTACCCAGGACAGCGGGCTCCAGACTGGCAAAGCTCCGGAAATTCAAAAAAATGAATCTTGAATCACTATAAATTGATTGGTTAGCTGAATTCAGTTTGAATTTGATGGATTTGATTGGGAATTTAATAAATCAGTTTAGCAACCGCGGTATTGCATATATCCTTATTATATAATAAGACAAGTAGTATTAGTAATTATTATTTCTACTAAGCTAAAGGGGGGGATTAGATACTAACCTATACTTAGAACCGCTAGGCGGTTCTAAGTATACTAAATTTAAGAATAAATATAACTACTCGGGCAGCGCCGAGAAGGAGGAAAGTAGTAGAATTTAGAAAGTATAGGGACGGAAGTAGTAGTAGGGATACTAATAGAGGGATAGTATATATATATATATATACGCTAACGGAGGTAGTAAATAGCGAAAGTAACGGTTAGAACGGAAATCTCGGTCTAGGTTATAGTAGTATTAGCGGTAGATATTTAGGCGGTAAAATAGGTACGCTAAGGATCGTAGCGACGAGGAGATCCTACTAGTAGTAGGTTTAAGACGTCTTAGTAGTAGTAGCGGCAATTTTCGATAAGTAGAGAATAGAACGTAATACTAAGACTTTATAGGCATACTTATAGTAATAGCGATAGCGAGGTCGACTTAGTAGAATTATTCTATATATAAGCGCTAGGCTTTATTACGTCGATAGGGAAATTTTAACCGTAATTAGAACGCAAATTAATAGTTATAGCGGAAGATATCGAGTATCGTAAATATTAGTATTTAACTTTAAATTATAAAGTAAAGTTAAGCTATATAGATTTCTTATCTATTCTCGTCTTCGCGGCCGAGTAGGTAGAAATAATAGGAATAACGATAGTAGCGATAGCAATAGAAGATATATCGGCATTAGCGATATTATAGAACGCTAGATATTAGTTAGACCTACAAAGAGTTACTAAAAGTTGCTAAAAGTTACCGAAAGTTAATATTATAGCCTATAGATCGTAGGACCTTCCGATCCTCGAGTATATAGAGATATTAAGAGTTACTAAAAGTTACTAAAGGTTAGTATAAGAAGATAGAGAGGTAGGCTAAAGGCGAACCTATTAACCTTAAACGAAATGCGAGTTTATAGAATACTCTAATTATTAGGGATATAGAGGTTCTAAAAGTTGCTAAAAGTTACTAAAAGTCGGCTTAAGAAGACAAAGAGATAGGTAGAAGGCGGATCTATTAACCTTAAGCGTAATACGAGTTTATAGAGCCCTCTAATTATTAAGGATATAGAGATTCTAAAAGATACCGAAAGATGCCGAAAGATACTAAAAGATAGTATAAGAACCTAGAGATAGTAGAATCTTCCTATACTCGAGGACAAGGAGGATAAAAGTTACTAAAGCTTAATATAGAGTTAGAATGCGGACCTTCCGCGTTTAAAGCGAGATAGAAGAACGGAAGTACGTTATAGCTAAAGCTATAGAAAGCGTAAAGTAAAATAGTACGGCCCCGATAAGTAGAATACGAGATATACGGGATACTAAAAGTTGCTAAAAGTTACTAAAAGTTATCGAAGTTAATACTCGCTCGAAGTCTAAGATAGTATTAAAAGTAGCGATCGTAGTATTAATAAGGAGTAATAGGCACGCTAATATCGTTAGTCTAAAAGGCTGCAATACCTAGCACTAAGACAAAAGCTAAGCTCTAGCTACTAGAAGCTATCGGAGAGGGTTTAATTAAATAAAGCTAATCTAGCTCTATATCGGTAGTAGCGAGACGTACTATATCGGGACCCTTACGCTTAATATATACTACTATTGCTACCCGCGATCCTAGTATCTGTTCCTATAGATTCGAGTACCGCCTTAAATCTAGATACGATTAGCCTTCTAGATATATCGTATCGTAGCGATAGGATACTACCTTACCTCTTAAAATAGTGCCTTCTCTTTAACTTTTAACAACTTTTAGAACCGTTTACTGCGGTAAGTACTACTACTAGATATAGTATCTACTTTATACCTAGCTAAAATCTATACTTCTTAAATCTAATAGCGGGCTTTATTAAGGCTTGTTCGTAGTTATAGTCGCGTCGAAGGGAAGCGCCGAATATATAGTCTTTAGCGGAACGTCGTGCCTATAACTAAGTATAGCAGTATCTAATTAGCTTTACGACTTATTCTATATATATAAGTCCTTACCGTGTTTTTAAAGCAGAAGCGAAGCGCTCTAATTAGCTAAAAGTTAATAAAAGTTCTCGAACCCCTATCTCGCCTTAGCGTAACACTTCTTATAAAGTCTAATACTAAGCAAGTCTATTACTATAACTCGAATCGATACCTCGTAATAACGGTAGTTCTATGCCCGCTCGGCTAGTCTTTAAGCCGTATCGATAAGCGATTACGGATATGTTTAGCGCTATTATATTAGTAATAGCCTAAGGGCCTATTACTTATACTACTAAAGGAGAAACTAGTTTTAGCTATAGATTACGATAAGAAGATATAATATACTACTAGCGTACGTCGGAGTTTTTAGTCTCGTTACTCGGAGCGTAGAGGAAATTAGCCCTACTATTTTCTTAAGCGTAGTCCTCGAATACTTTTACTAGGATGTCTACGGAGTTTTACCCTCTTAGCGACGCTTAGATCTATATTAGTAACACTTAATATCCTCCTCCTACGTATCGCTATAACGGTACTTAGAGGGTCGGAGCCGCGAGATACTAATCCTAGTATTATCGTAAAACAATAGATTCGAAAGCCGCGCTAGTATAGGACGACTATAATACATTTACTATTTATAACTATATTGCGTATAATCTTAACCGAGCGGAAACCGAGATACTCGACGTTACTACTAGTATATTAGCCGCTATCGAAAGAAGAACGCTAATATACTATTAAGATATTAATTAGATAGCTATCTAAATTAATAACGAGTTAGAGAAGGAAGAGAGAGAGGCTCTCTCGCGGAAGAGGCTTTTATCCGCTCGGCGGATACCTTAGGCATCGAGTTACGTAACTTCGGGTTACTTATAGCTTAGGTCTAATAATACCCCTAAGGTAGTATTAGCTAGCCCTATTACGTAACTTTAAATTTTATATACAAGTCGCTAAGATCGTAATAGTACTCCCCCCCTTCGTAAGTAACGTCTATAGCGCTTTACTTACTTATCGTTAAAGTATTACGATTATAGCGACTAATAGTAGAGCGCTTAGTCGCGTTAGTATCGCGGAGTTAGTAATACGCGGCGGTCGCGGTTTACGCGGGTATCGAGTATAATAGTCTTCTACTACTTCTAGCGCATTAGTAACGTTCTTAGTAACTTCCTATATCGGTTTATTATATCTAATCTACTTTACTTTATACTAGATATTCTTGCCCTTTCCTTTTATATCTAGTATCCTTTCTACTTCCTATTCTTTATCTCTATTAATAACTAGCGGCGGTAGCGGCTCGTACTATTAACTAGATATATCTATCTTCGGTACTAGGGTTAGTAATAAGATATAGAAGACGTTATATATATATATTAAGTTAGGCAACTTTAATTAGTACGCGTACGGTAATATAACTTTAATAATCTTATATAGTCCTAAGTTCTTAACGTCGAGCTTAGCGTTTAGTCGATCGGTACTTATTCCTTTAAGTAATAGGAAGACCTTATTACCGATATAGTAGATAGAAGTAGGTCGGCGATATTAGTTAGCGGAGTCTTCTATATAGGATTGCTAATATCTTATCTATTCGATAAGATAGGTTTCGAGGGTTTATAAGTAGTCGATCTAGGCTTAAGTATTATAGTTAAGTAGTAGGTCTTCTTCTAGTAATATTAATAGCTTACTTCTAAGGCGCGGATTATAGCTATAACTAGCTTAAAACGGCGACAATCCGGTAGTTTCGGAAGGTATATTATTTATTATAAACTCGGCGACGGGGAGCTAAAGGCTCTAGTTATCTTACTTATAGTTTATATATAATTAGAGGTATCCCTCGATAACTTTATTTAAGCGTTTAGTTTATCTATTAGTTTATAGGTACTAGGCGGTCGATAGGTTATACTTAATATATAGGCATTTATATAAGTAGTTCTAGAATTTAGAGATAAACTATATACTACGGTCGGAAGTAATAGTATCCGGAAGACCGTAAAGCTTCTAAATATAGATAAGGTAGATATCTACGACTACTTAAGCGTTCGAGTATCCTTCCTTATATATAAATAGAATAAGGTACTATATTTTAGTTAGTCGATCGATAATAATAAGGATTAAGTTATAACCGGAGCTATTAGAAAGACTAGTAATAAAGTCTATTATTACGCTTTTCTATTAAGTAGTCGATATAGGTAGAGGCTAAAGAAGTCCTTGTTTAGCTTATTTTAAAAATTTAGTCCGGAGGTAGATATAGTAGGTACCGATATATCGCTCGACGTCCTTATATATTTATAGCTAGTAGTAGCTACGACTAACGAGGTAGAACGTCTTTATAATACTAGGATAGCTAGTAGCGGAATAGTCGTAGTATATACGGATAATATTAGTACGGAGCGACTTATTTATTTCCTTAGCTTCTAGTATATAAAGGTAGTCGCGATAGAATAGGAGGTTATTATTTTTAATTTCGTAGTTTAAAAAAGATAATAAGAGATTATTAGAAGGGTCTATTCTATTATAGAAATATCCTTTTACTTACTAGAAGAGAGTATCCTTAATCGAGGTATCTCGAACTCGCTTAGTAATATTCTCGGCGTTAATAAAGATCTCGGCGCCGAGAGCCTCTATAGTAAATATAACTATATCGTTACTTATAGTATTAATACGGGCTTTCGCAAATTAAGGTTTATCGTAACCCTTACCCTAACCCTAACCCTAAGGGTTATTATCGTAAAAAACGTAAAAGTCGTAAAATTGTCCGTTTCTTCGAGAATTGCAATTATTTACCTTAGGGTTGCGCAACCCTAACCCTAACCCTAACCCTAACCCTAAGGA